CCGCCCCCCCCTCGGCCCCGGCCCCCCCCGCCACGCGCGGCAGCTCCACACCCTGACCCACGGGGAGGTGGTCTGCGCCGTCACCATCAGCAACTCCACGCGACACGTCTACACCGGGGGCAAGGGCTGCGTGAAGGTGTGGGACGTGGGGCAGCCGGGCACCAAGACGGCCGTGGCGCAGCTCGACTGCTTGGTAAGGAGGGGTGAACCACCGCACTGGCACGGCTCATTTCCCTGTGCTGTGCCACCTCGCTGTCGTGAAGACGGGGTCTGGGGTCCCCATCGGGGACCTCAGGGGTGTGGGGGTGTCTGAAAGCAATGGTACGCACTGGGGAGAGTCTCCATGGGCGTTTTGAAGTGTGGGCGGTGCGGGGCTGCTGGGGAGGGATGGTGGCTCCATGCTGCAAGAGTGCTCCCCTGTGCTGCCCTGTCTGTTCTGAGCATCCCAAGCTATTGGGGGGCTTTTACAACCCCCCCTCCCCTGGCACTGCTTTGTCTGACAGCACCTGCCCTAAAGACAAGCCTTTGCCAATGTCAGCCCCCTGGCCAGATACTTCATGTGGGCCAGAATCACACGGGCTGAAGCATCGCTTGGATTCAGCTCTGTCCTTCTTTCTGCCTTTGCTTGTGTGAGTTCAGCTGGAGGGAGAACTCCTGTTCCTTTTAAAAATAAATGAAATGGACTCAGACCACAGCGACTCGCCAGAGCTGAGCTGGAGGCACTGCCATCACCTGAGAGTATTTTTAACCTCTGTTCTTTGAGGTTTGGGTTTTTTTTTTTTAAATGGTCTATTGGAATCGGAGTCCTTGTGCCTGCTTTGAACAGCTCTGACCCAAGTCCTCTCCTCAGCTCGCTGGCCTTGGGGCCTGGGCAGCCTGACAAATATTATTCCTGGATGGTGCTGACCTTGAAGATACAGATGCGTAAACAAGGAAATGACTGAGTCGTGATAATTTCAAGCTGCATCAGAAATTCAGGAATGGGGCAAAATGGTCTTGGAGCCATGGGCTGTTGCAGCCCTGTTGGAGCTGCCTCCCCGGCTGCCCCTCATCTTCCTCAGGACTGGCTGTGTCTGCGGGCAGCCGCTGGCCCTGGGGTGACCAGGCAGTCTGGGATGGGAGCTAGACATTAGGAAAAACTTCCCCGAAAGGGCTGTTAGGCTCTGGAAGGGGCTGCCCAGGGAGGTGGTCGAGTCCCCATCCCTGGGGGGATTTAAAAGAAGGAGAGATGAGGTGCTGAGGGCCAGGGTTTGGGGGTGGGATGGCAGGGTTAGGTTAAAGGTTGGACTCGATGATCTTAAAGGGCTTTTCCAACCAAAGTGATTCTGTGATTCTACAAAAAGGCTGGAGGGGGAGGGGAAGGGGTTAAGTGTCCTCCCTCCTGCACCCCAGAACCGTGACAACTACATCCGCTCCTGCAAACTGCTCCCCGACGGCCGCAGCCTGATCGTGGGGGGGGAGGCCAGCACCCTCTCCATTTGGGACCTGGCGGCCCCCACGCCCCGCATCAAGGCTGAGCTCACCTCCTCTGCCCCTGCCTGCTACGCCCTGGCCATCAGCCCCGACGCCAAAGTCTGCTTCTCCTGCTGCAGCGACGGCAACATCGTGGTGTGGGACCTGCAGAACCAAACCCTGGTCAGGTGAGCATGGGGCGGGGGGCGCGTGGGCAGGGCTGCTCCGGTCCTGGGCCAGGAACGGCTTGGTCCCCTCCAGGTTGTTCCCACCTCTTCCCACGGTCTCACCCTGGCCGT